TTTAGTGAGACACTTTCTCAAAATAAAAATCTTAAAAGGGGTGGGAGTGTAGTTCAGTGGTAGAGTGCTTACCTAGTGTGTTTGAGGCCCTGGGTTCAATCCTCAGCACTGAGAAAAAAACCCCATAATAATAACATCAATAATAATAAGCATCTACTACATACCAGGTGCCACTTATTGCAGAAAACACTATAGACAAAAATTCCTTACATCTAAGAGCATATATTCTACAATAGAAACAGAATAAAAAGGTAAATAATAGAATATATGTCATTTAATATAACTTAACCTAGTGGTTTTTTGTCTGACATTTAAAAATGGGTATTTTATCATTTTATTTTTCTGGTGCTTGAGATTGAAGATGATATCAGTTGGGTGCCCAGTTGGGGTCCTGGTTTTTGGTGTCCCTAACAGTAAATTGAGTAAGACATATACAAGTTATAGGAAGAGCATAGATTTATTGATGAAGGTATACTTGGTAAAGTAGAGCAGAATGAGCCAAGTGAGAGAAGGTGGCTCAAGGCCCTGATATCTGGGCAAGTTTTGTCTTATATGCTGAGCTGTGCCTCCTCCTCCTCCCCACAGACTTTACTGAGTATCTCGCCCTATTTGTTCCCATTGGTTACGTTTTTGGTACTTTGTGAAGGATCAGATGATTTTATCTGTGGAGCTTTGTCTCTGTGTCTTTTCTGTTCCATTGGTCTATATGTCTGCTTTTATGCCAGTACCATGCAGTTTTTGTTGCTATAGCTCTACAGTATAACTTTGAAGTCAGATATTGTGATGCCTCCAGCATTGCTTTTTTGGCTTAGAATTGCTTTGGCTATTCTGGGTCTTTTATTCTTACAAATGAATTTTTAAGACTGTTTTTCTAGTTTTGCAAAGAATGTCTTTTTTTAAAAAATATTTTGTAGTTGTAGGTGGACAGAATATCTTTATTTTATTTATTTATTTTTATGTGTTGCTGAGAATTGAACCCAGTGTCACCCATGCTAGGCAAGTGCTTTACCATTGAGCTACAACCCCAGCCCTCATTGGTGGGGATTGAATTGAATCTGTTTATTGATTTTTGTTGTATCTGCCTCTGCCATTTTGACATCCCTAAACTACTTCCTCAAACCCAGGGCATTACACATGCTAAACATGTTACCAGAGTCCTAGGCCAGAGGGCTGACTCTGGGGATCCAATAAATTCTGTCTGACCACATGCCCCAGAAACCAAACAGAAATGATAATAGTAGAAAAGCATGAAAGGAACTTTAAATAGTGTAACTACGTCTGAAGGACAAGGAGACCCATGTCTTCAAGGGACTGACAATGATTTTGAGGTTTTATAGAAAGGGGAATGAATTTGAGGGTTAGGGGGTTTGCACAGCTGGAGGCTTTTCACAGTTGCCAAGGCAAGAGGTCTGTCCATGATTATCACAGGATTGGTCTTGCAGGGCCTTGTCCCAACAAAGTTGCCTGGGTTGAGGGGTAGCTTTGATTAATCACAAGATATTTATTGGATCAGAATTTGTTTCTGGAATTCAAGGTGACCAGGAGCAAAGAAGATGTATACAAAATGGAGGCAGAGATGGCAAGTCTTTAATTATGCTTTTAGCCACCCATCAAACATTTGCAGGCAAAAGTGAAGAGTCTAAGTCCTTGTTACAAGCACATGCTCTACCACTGAGCCATACTTGCAGCCCCTAAAAATACTTGTGTGTGTGTGTGTGTGTGTATGTTTTAGTAGGGATGCCCAGGTCTTCACACTTGCTAGGCAAGTGCTCTACCACAGAGCTATATCCCTAACCCTTTAAAAACATTTTTATCTTGAAACAGGGTCTTGCTAAATTGTCCAGGCTGGCCTCAAACTTGTAATTCTCCTGCCTCAGCCTCCTTAGCAGCTGGGATGACAGCTGTGTGCCACCATGCCCAGCCCCTACCCCCAAAATATGTATAAATATATGTGTGTGCATCATATATAGAAAGATTCTTTTTTCTTTTTTTCATGGTGCTGGGAATTGAACCCAGGGTTGTTCTACCATTGAGCTATATCCCTCACTGTTTAAGTTTTTATTTTGAGATAGCATGTCACTAAATTGCGCAGGTTGGTCTGAGCTTGTATCTTCCTGCCTCAGCCACCATGTCCAGCCAGCCAGAGTGTTTTTTTTTTTTTTTTTTTTTTTGGTATCAGGGATTGAAACTGGGTACTTAACCACTGAGCCACATCCCCAGCCAGTTTTTTTATTTTTTATTTTGAGACAGGGTTTCACTAAGTTGCTCAGGGCCTCTCTAAATTACTGAGTCTGGCTTTGAACTTGTGATCCTTCTTTCTGCCTCAGCCCCCCAAGCTGCTGAGATAACAGGTGTGTGCCACCATGCCCAGTTCAGCCAGAATCTTAATATATTATTGTTCCAAAGTTTTGTCATTCTACCCTCATTTAAAAAAAAATTTTTATATTCTCCATTATATGTGGTAGGTACTGAGTCACTTCTTGTATCATAAGTGCATTTTGGAAAGCAGAAAGAGAATAATCTTGAATTTAAGTTGAGCCTGTTTTATGGATTCCTTGAACTCCAGAATGAAAATACTCTGTGTCACGGGATCACTGCCAGGTTTGATGGTTCTCTAGGAGGACTCACAAGATGAAGTCATGCCTCATGGCTATAACTTATTTATTATAGCAACAGCATAGGAAGCACAGTGAGCTAAGGGTAAAGGTACACGGAGGAAAGGCTGAAAGATGTCAGGCAACAAGCTTCTAAAAATCCTCTTCCAGTTGAATTACATGGAACATGCTTACCACCTCCAACAACTAATGGTGTCAGCAGGAAAGAAATGTTATATTCAAGGGTAGGTCATTACAGATATTGTTTTTTTTTATTGGGGCGTGATCACATGGGTACCTCTGCTTAGCATGTGCCAAAATTCCATAAGGATAGAAGGAAACTAGGTGTTCAGCATAAACTATAAAAATTTAGGCATGGTGAATCACTCTTACCATTTCTGGGAACAGTGAGAACTTTCTTGGAATTTAAGTAAGATCCAAGGGCCAATATTGTGAATAGGTCTTTGGACAGCAGTCTCAGGCCTGCTGTGTTAACCCTTTTCTGCAGTGTTTGTACTTAATGTGATCTTAAAAGGTGGGAGAGTGGCCTTAGGGGCTCTTGGGAAATGGTAGTGGTGTGGGTATACACATGAGGGAGATGTGAAGTGGGTGGGACTTTGTGTACCTCTCTTCTGAATTTTCCTTTTTTGGGGGAGTTACTGGGGATTGAACCCAGGGGTGCTTTACGACTGAGCTACATCCCCAGTCTTTTTATTTTGAGACAGGGTCTTTGCTAAATTCCTCAAGGTTCCTATAAATTGCTGAGGTTGGCTTTGAACTTGCAATCCTCCTGACTCAATCTCCCTAGTTGCTGGGATTATAGATGTTTGGCCAATTAAGGTCCTTATGTCACAGGAAAGCAGGGAGCTAAAACTCCAAACCTTGGTTTTTATGTTCTGATGAAAGAAGATTTAAAGTCAGACACCAAAAGTCATGCAAGAGAATTTTATTAGAAATGAAAGTGAGGTAAAAATAAAAGTGAGGCTTAAGCAAAAAGCACTCTCAAGGGAGAGAGTGGACTGTCTCCAAGCAGAGAACAACAAAAGAGACAGTGCTGCCCCCAATTTTATTACTGTTTGATGTTTACCAGAAGAACTGGGGACCACCTTCTATATACTCTTTGCCAGTTAGGTGTTCAACTCCTTCACCACTTCAGGTGGAGTTTTTAAGTGGTAAAGAACCTCTGGGTTCAATTCCTAGTAATATGTCTGCCTGTTTTCCTTCTATGTGTCTACACAGCTTGGTGCTGGAAGCATAGCTGAGTGGTACAAGTGTGCAGTCTTTTTTTTTTTAAGAGAGAGAGAGAGAGAGAGAATTTTTTAATGTTTATTTTTTAGTTATTGGCAGACACAACATCTTTGTTTGTGTTTGTATGTGGTGCTGAGGATTGAACCTGGGCCGCACGCATGCGAGGCGAGCGCGCTACCGCTTGAGCCACATCCCCAGCCCAAGTGTGCAGTCTTAACATGTGTGAGAGGCCCTTGGTTCATCTCCAGCACCAACTAAATAAATGAATTAATTAAAAATAGAGAGGGAGCTACCTTAGCCACTAAACCTGCCCCAGATAAGGAATGAAATTATGATTGAATTTGACCTCAACTGGTTGTTTTCTTACCCAGGAGAAGATTAAAGAAAGCTGCTTTGAAGCCTGTCTTGTGTGTAACTTCTGTTTCCTTCTGTAAAGGTTATGGAAAAGGGAAGAAATCTCATAAGGGCTGAAATCAATATAACATCTAAGTGTTGTGTTGTTTTGAACAGAGAATAATGGGGCTGTAGAAAACCCTTTGAGATTCATCTCCAAGTTTCTTTGTGGTGCTTAAGCACCAGAAGTAACTAGACCTAGCTCAAAAAGAGTACCACCTGCTTCTAGGGAAGAGCTCTGGAATTTAGGTGGCTGGTTTAATAGCACACAGGCAAAGTAGAGGCCCTATAGCAGATTAGGTTTTCTAGAAAAGTAGTTACAAGTATAGTTTATGGTTTTTGAATGTATTTTTTTTTCAAAAATGAGCAATTGTAAGTACTTATTTTTTAAAATTTATTTTGTATTATTTTAATCAAAATGGCAATTATAAAAACTGCTCAAATAGATCCAGAATTTTTTTGGTATTGAGGATTGAACTTGGGGGTGCTTTACCACTGAGCTATATCCCCAGCCCTTTTTATTTTTCGTTGAGACAGGCCTTGCTAAATTGTTGAGGCTGGCCTTGAACTTGTGATTCTCCTGCCTCAGCCTCCTGAAAAGTTGGGATTATGTACACTGTGCTTGCCTTTAGATATAGTTTAACAACTTAAAAGTTTTATATATATATATATATATATGGAGAGAGAGCGAGAGAGCGAGAGGGCGCTCTATGAAATATCCTCATTTAAGAAAGTCTAAAATTTTACATATGTTTTTGTTTATAGCGTATATGGTACAGCTGCCTGAGAGTGTGACCCCATCTGCTTCTGCTTCCAAGGCCTGTTTGAAACCTTTGGCTGTTTGTCATGGACCTCTGGATCACTATGACTTTCTGATCAAAGCTCATGAGCTAAAGGATGATGAACATCAAAGAAGAGTGATCCAATGTTTGCAGAAATTACATGAGGACCTTAGAGGATACAGCATAGAGGCAGAAGGTCTTTTTTCAAAGGTGAGGTTTATGTAACATTAAAGATGGAACAGTTTCAAGTGTAACCATTTTATAAAATGGATTCAGTGCAATGAGGCATAATGAAACAGCTTGAGAATTTCCTACAGATCCTTTAAACAAACTCTATTAGATCCCTGACCTCTTGATGTCCTGTAGCTGTCTTTTTGCCTTTAGGGATTTAAACAGCTTTCTAATTAGATTGTTAAAAAGTGCATTCCAATCTAAAGGAAAACTTCTATACAATTCCAAACTTTCCCTTTTCTTTAGTTCAGGCCTCACCTGGGATCAGCAATGGAGAAGGGGGAGTGATTTGTTTTTTCCCCTTTCCTCCTCCTTTCTCTAGAGTCAGAAAGAGAGGGATGAAAGATTAGAGGAAAATAACCATCTTAGTTGCCCATCAGCTGTTGGCTTTTGGTTGATAGATGCTGACTTGCTAGCTCTTTTTGAAAGGGCTCATTGGTCCTGGATTACCTCCATACTGCTGTATTCTTTGAGCTCTTAGGGCTCTGGGGAAACACCTCAAACCTTTGTATTCTACTGGGACCTTTTCCCCTTGTACTTAACCTTCTTGGGTAGGGTCTTGTTAGGATAGCTCTCACTGGATCACCTTTAATGGTGTCCACTTAGGTCACAAGAAGCATATCATCTTGTTTCTCCAACCCCTATTGCATAGAGAGCTTTATTTACCCTTCTGCCTTTGGACTGCAGGCAAGAAGCAGGTACCAGGTTGTCCTTGTCCTGTACATATTCCTGAAGACACATGTCAAGTTCTTTCATGAACTCTTCCACACTGTGCTTTGGTAGCTGTCTGTAGATTTCCTCACCTAAGCAAACATCCATCTGGGGAGGGGGGATGCCCACCTCATTTTGTACTCAATCCTAATCTCTTCGGGTATTTCATTTGTGAACCTCCCACGCTTGGCATGAGGGAAATACCATAGCATTACTAACCCAGCTTAAAAACTTTCTGCCTTGATCATTCTGTTCAGTTCTACTTTGGTTTTAGAGCTGATTTTGCCATTTTTTTTTTTTTTTTAGGTCTTTCCTGGCAGGGCACAGTGGCCTACACCTATAATTTTAGCTCCTCAGGAGACTGAGCCAGGGGAATTGCAAGTTTGAGGCCAGTGTTGACAATTTAGTGAGATTCTGACTCAAAATAACAAATAAAAAGAGCTCAGGATGTAGTGTGGTAGAGCAACTCTGGGTTCAATCTCCAATACTGCTGGGGAAAAAAAAAAAAAAAAAAGATTTGACCTTTCTTACATACCATTCAGGGCTTTTCCTATGAGCTTGGAAGTTTCCCTCAGGAGTAGACTGAGAATGTGGCAGACACCATGATTGACCAGTCCAGCACAATGATTATAGGATATAATGATAAATTATCTTTTTTGATGATGAACCTTTGTTTTCTTATACTTTCGTAAGTTTGTTTATAAGTAAGAAAAGAACTTAACATAGATTGCTCATGTTTTACGTATCATATGGAATACAGGGAGTCTTCCAAATAAAATAAAAACTTGGTAATAATGGCATAGCCAAGGAAAAACATGTTTTACTTACCTGAAATTTTTTGGTATATGAGAATTCAATTGCTTTTAAGAATTCTGTATCATGTTCTATTTCTTGTCCGTTTTGGAAATACATTTCTTTTAATTCTTTTTTTATTTTTAAATTGTAGATGGACATAATACCTTTATTTTGTTTATTTGTTTTTACCTGGTGCTGAGGATAGAATCCATTGCCTCACACATGCTAGACAGATGCTCTACCACTGAGCTACAACCCTGGCCCCTGGAAGTACATTTCTCCTTTCCTACTCTGTAGCATCCCTAGGGCTTATTTTATATTGGTTAGTGAACTTCCATCCAAGTAACCTTTGATCATTAATATAGTTTGAATCTAGAATGTCCCCCAGAGGCCCATGTGTTAAAGCCTTGTCCCCTAAAAGGGGGATATCCTAGCCTCTTCTTTTTTTCTCTTTTGCTTTGTTGCCATGGTGTAACTAGACTCCCTCAGAGTTATACTCCTGCCATGAGGTACTCTGCCACCACAGACCCAAAGCAATGGGGTCAATCAGTCAAGGACTGAAATCTTACAAACTGTGAGCCAAAGTAAACATTTCCTCTTTTTGAGTTTATTGATCTCAAGTATTTCCTTAAAGTAATAGGAAGTTGACTATAGTCATTACCTTATCAATTCAACAATGATAATTTTTTTTCCTTTAAATTGATTAGCTCTTTTAGGTATATTCTCCTATACTTCTACCTTTGATTTCTTTTTTTTTTCTTTCTACTTTTGACTTCTGACTTGTGTATAATGGGCCAGTCTAGTCAGTAACTCTTTTTTTTAATTATTTTTTTAAAATATTTTTTTAGTTATACATGGGCACAATATCTTTATTTTGTTTATTTATTTTTATGTGGTGCTGAGGATCCAACCTAGGGTCTCACACGTGCGAGGCGAGCGCTCCACCACTGAGCCACAACCCCAGCCCCAATAACTCTGGTTTTATTGTGTAGTTTAAGCTTATATAAATGGAAGATTTGATATGTCAGCTAGAGTTTCAAGTTTTATTAATGAAAGGTCACATTTGTTAAATCCTAGTGCATATATAAATAAATGTTTAGCAGTTATAGCAGCATCTTTGTGATAGTGTTTGTCCTGTAGTTTATGAAGCCCCCCAAATCTTTAAAACATTGAAAAAGACCTAAATATCCAATATAATTTGAGAAAACCACATATATAAAACTTTAATTTTTGATGATTGTAAAGATGACACAGACCATTTCTTTTGAAATTAAACAAATATTTTCCAGTTATTCAGAAGATAAATTTGGGCTATTAGGTTTTCTTCCTCCCTCCCTCTCTTCCTTCATTCCTTTCCTTTTACCCCTTGTAGTGATTGAACCCAGAGGTACTACATCCCCATCCCTTTTTATATTTTTTTATTTTGAGGCAGGATCTTTCTAAGTTGCTGAAGCTGCTTCAAAAGGCTATCTTCCCATCTCAGCCTCCTGAGTTGCCCAGATTGGGGTGTGGCTATTAGATTTTCTAGTAATAGAAGAACTTTATTTGTAGTATTCTTAATTCCGGTAAGATTTATGATTTTACAAACTTTGATTTTGGTTTTAATGTAGATGTTTAAACATTCATTATGGTGGACTTATTTTTTCCCCATGATAGTCCTAAGAAACTTTTTATAAGCTTAAGCTATTGAAACAAAATATATCTCCTTCACAAAATGCTGGATTTATAATTAATTAGAAAAGTTCATTGCAAAATATTAGGCTGCCTTTACCTATCTACATAACGATGTTTTCTCTAGTAAACATTTGAAGAAGTTATGAGCAGATGACTATGCCATATGAGCAACAAACTGTGAAGAACAAACATTTATGGACACTTTTGTTATCAAATAAAACATACAGCCAGGTTAATCTGACACATTTAATGTATGCATAATTGTTATTGTGCTGTGAGGTAATTAGGCATAAATGGTAAGTAGTTCATGTAAATCACTATAATTAGAATTACTTTTACACAGCCAAATCAAGCATTTCTAGAGTCAGGGAGGGAGGAATTAAATGGAGTATGGAGCTACTCTGCAAATCTCTATTTCCATTAATCAGGGGTATGCAAGCAGCCAGATCTTTTCATCTCTTTTACCTCATAGTATATTTGTAAGGAAGTGAAATTGGGGGTCAAACTACAGTCACAAATCATATGTCAATGTTTTGGTCAAAGATGAACTGTATGTACAACAGTGGTCTCAAAAGGTAATAAACTAATACTTGAGTGATGCTGTAGTGCACTGTGATGATGTTGGTGTAAACAAACTCACTATGCTGCTAATTGTATAGAAGTATAGCACACCCGGGTGTGGTGGCACACGCCTATAATACCGGTAGCTTGGGAGGCTGAGGCAGGAGAATTGCAAGTTCAAAGCCAGCCTCGGCAGACCCTAACTTTAGCCAGACCCTAAACAACTTAGTGAGGCCCTGCTTCTAAATAAATAGTAAAAAGGGCTGGGGATGTAGCTCAGTGGTAACTCCCCTCTCCATGGATTCAATATCCAGTACCAAAAAGAAAACTAACTAAATAAAAATAGAGCATGTACAATTATGATTGAACCCAGAGGTGCTACATCCCCATAATGCTGGATCATGAGAAAGAACTATTACTGATTTTCTATATTATACTGTGCTTTTTATTGTTTAGAGTTCTCTCCTACTTAAAAAAAATAGTTTACTAATAAAGCAGCATGCCATGTTTCAGTGTTAACAGTCTCATACATTTCATGTTTACTGAGTCTCTTGATCACATCAAGAGGCATGTTGAGTGATTGACCTTTATCTTCTGGGTTTGTATAAGAATTCTCTCTGATAATCACAGCAATGAAATCCCCATGATACATTTCCTAAATTGAATCTCCTTTGTCAAGCAATACATGATTGTTTATTGCTTTTTGAGAACTAATACATTCCACCCATTTAAATTCTGAAATTTGAGAACAGAGTGCAATGGATCTGTTTCAGACTCCAGAATAATCAATCATTGTATTCAATCACATCTTAAGTTTTGTCATGGTTCCAAAAGGTGAAATTGTGCCATCAACATAGATGAGAATATCTTTAATAAGTGTGCCCTCCTTTTTTTCTTTCCTCCCTCCCTTCCTTCTTCCCTCCCTCCCTCCCTCCCTTTGTTTCTTTTTTTGGTGGAAATTGAACTCAGGAGCATTCTACCTGAGTTATATAACCAGCCCTTTTTTAAAAATATATTTTTATTTATTTTAATTAGTTATGCATGACAGTAGAATGCATTTTGACACATCAAACATAAATGGAGTATAAATTCTCATTCATCTGGTTGTACATGATGTAGATTTACACGTCATAAAATCGTATATGGACATAGTGTAATAATGTCCAATTCATTCTACTATCATTCCTACACCCATGCAACCTCCCCTTCCTTCAATCCCCTTTGTCTATTAAAAAATC